CATAAAGGAAATGTTAAGAATTTGGAATGCACCTTAAAGATCATTCTGTCCCAGTCCCTCTTGCCATGAGCAGGGACACCTCCCACTAGACCAGACTGCTCAAGGCTTTATCCAACCTGGCTTTAAACACTTCCAGGGCTGGGACAACTACAGCCACCCTCGGCAACATGTTCCAGTGTCTCACCACCCTCACAGTAAAAGCAGGCTTTGGTTTTGGATCATATTTTGCAGCCCCTGCCTGCGTTTGCTACCAGGTGAAATTAAGGCGTCTGAGAAAGAGCTGGTGACTGAACCTGGGCATCACACCCGCCATCAGGAGAGCGGGAGGGAGCTGGGCAGCTGGGGCTGGCACACCAAAGGCGGCCTGAAACTACCACACGTAGTGTCCTTTCCCTTAAGACTACCCCGTCACGGAATCCCCGGGGCCTTGGAGCCGCGCTCCGCCGCACCCGCCCCGCCGGGGGCTCCCTGAGGGGCGCGGCGCCATCTTGGGAGGCGGGCCGGGGCGAGGCCTCGGCGCGGGGCGACATCTGCCGGCGGTGCTGGGCGGCGAGCGGGCTCCGCGCGGCGAGCGGGCTCCGCGCGGCGAGCGGGCTCCGCGCTCCATGCCAGCCGAGCTCGGTACTCAGCCAGCGCCGGCCCCTCTTCCGACCCTCGGCGCGTCTCCCTCGCCGGAAGGGAGATGCTCCCCTACACCCCCGATCCCCACCTTGGGGGCGGTTTGGTTGCCTTTGGGCAAGCGGCACCCCACGTGGAGCTGTATTTATAGACAAATCCAAGCACAGCGAGGTAGCTGCCTGACTTTTTCCCCTCTTCGTTGCACTCCTCAGTCTGTAATTTCCTGTTTGCCTGCCAAAGCTATTTTTACTAAGAAAAAAAAAAAAAAAGTTAAACATTTTTAACAGTTCTATTTGTTCACTAGCAGAATAAAGCAAAGATCGGAGTGAACCTAGCAGGGATCATGGATTAACTCCCCGTCAACCTGTCCCACCTGTTTGCTCCACAGCCCTTCCATCCCAGCACATGTGGCTGGTGCCCCTTCACCAGCCAGCCCCACACCACAACGTGGGAAAGCTTACTAGCCATCATTTGTTTCTTTTTTCTTTCTTTCTCTGTCTTTCTGAAGCTTTTGCCAGCTTTCTCCATAAATAGAAGAGGTTAGGGATGTCTACTGAAAATAGGTGTATCTACATGCAGCTATGTGGTAGAAAAGAGAATATCCTGGCCCTTGGGACACTGGGATTTCTGAGAGAACAGGAAGGACCCAAATGTCTAGGAGAAATCTGTGACTCCTGCACAAGTGGTACTCCATGGTCCCAGCCATGCCTACAGGGGGGCTCTTAGGGCTCTGAGCCCACAGCTCATCCAGCTGTCTGTGAGAGCCTCAGAGACCCTAAACTGCCAGGCAGCCACACATGGTGAGGCCTCAGGTGGGTGCACAGCCAGAAGGAAACTTCCCCCAGCCAGCCAAGGAGCCAAAGCAAGGCTTTAAATGCCTCTCCAACAGCGTGGGCTTAGCTGGGCTTCAGGAGGCAAAGCTTGTGTGCAGGCAGGGATTGCCCTGCATTGCTGTGACACAGGAAAGCACAGATACAGCACAGCTGCTGCAGAGTTTGGTCACCACCAGTACCCTGTGGCCTTTCCAAGCCTTCTTCCTGGGCTGCCCACAAGCTCGGGATGACCTGTGGTCTGATGTAGGCCAGACCAACTGGGCTGGTGTCACCTCCCCAAGGAGTCCTCAGCACCCTCCCTCCCTCTCCAGCTAACCCGCCAACACATTTCATTTACCTTCAGGACAGCCTGGATGCTGGCCACAGATGCCAGGAGAAGATGAGGTGAGAGGAGCCCAGGTGGCTTCTCCAGGGATCCTTGCCTTCCAAGAGGCAATGAGGAACAGCTGTATCTGGCCGCAGGGAAGATCACAGCTCTTGGATCTGGGGTACTCATAAAATCAAAGCTCCCACCACGCCGGCTTCCACTCTGGCTGCTCTGCAGAAATCCCCAGGAGCAGCAACCTCATCACGCAGTCCTCAGGGTTCCCTACAGTTTTGTTTGCTCCTCCAGGGAAGAGCAGGGAAGTCTGAGCCGCGAAGGAAGGTGCGGATCACCGGGCCCAGCTCCTGCTGACCCGGAGATCCCTGTGCTCCTGCCTGTCCTCAGCCAGTCCGCGGAGTTCCCTTGCCCAGCCGGGCCGCGGGGAAAGCCTCCAGGGGAAAGGCACGACGGGTGTGGGACGGTCCCAGCGCTGCCGGAGCCCGGGGCCGCTCAGGGCCGGCGGGGACAGCCCGGGGAGCCGAGGGGCTGGCTCCACGCGAGCCGGAGGGATGCAGCACGGAGCACAAAGGCTCTCCCATCCTGGCCGCTGTGCCCTGGAACGCAGCACGGAACCGCTGCCCAGCGCGGATCTGTTCCTCATTATCCGCCCCGGCTCCTCACCGCTCCCGGCGCAGCCCGGCCCGCTCGCAGCCCGCCAGCCGAGCGCTTCTGCACACCGGGGGCACACCAGCGTCAGGGCCGGGACCCCCCTCCGGAGGTGATGCCAGAGGGAAAACGAATTGTTCCCTTCGCCAAGGAGGCTTCCAGTGAAAGCGGGGAGCAGGGATGGCTGCTTCAGGTGCGAAGAGCGGGAAGGAAAATGCAGAATTCAGGGGAGGTGTTTGGTCTGATCGCTGGTGGGATGGACATGAGGAGGCAGGAGCAAGGAACAGACTGATGGGTCTCCAAAATATTTGTACCTGATACAATCAGACTGAGCACCTCTCCAGAATTCTTCTGCATTTGCCTTCCTGCTGCTCTCCATGAAAACATGAGCATGGCCAAAGCCTCTGCCATGCTTTGTGTGAGTGAGAGGTGAGGAGCTGGCTGCTATTCACTCACTTCCCCCTGCTTCTGCCTGTACAGAGCAGTGTGAAAAACTCCCAAAAGGGTGTCAGAAGTGCCCCAGAAACAGAGCAGGATCAGCAACTACACATGTGAGTCAACAGCACCCTTGCTGCAGTGGAGAATATGAAGCTGGCAGGTTCAAGAAAATTATTATTTCTTGGACTTGGTACCTGTGAGACACAACTGGGTGCTAGTTCAAATCTGGGCTTCCCAAAAAAATTATATATATATATACATATATATATATATATATACACACATGTATGTATATATATACATGTATATATGTCAGAGAGAACCAGCTTTAAGAAGATAAGGCAGAGGGGAGCTACCAACTCTTCCCAGAGAAGCACCTGGAAGAGCAAGACATAACAGGGACAACCTGCCCCAGGGGAAATATTTACTGAGCATAAGGAGAAATTCATTCTGTGCACAACTGGTGTAGTTATGGTGTGGTTCTGGGACAGGAGTTGACAGTTCCATCCTCAGGGACATTCCAAATCCAGTGGGACAGGGCTCTGAGCTACCTGGTGTAGCCTTGCTACCAGCCCTGAATGGAGCTGGGATTGGACCATGGGCTTCCCAAGCTCCTTCCAGTCTGAAATATACTTGATGCTCCAATGTGAATCGTTCAAAAGCAATGTGGTGATTTTAAGACTCACTTGTAAGATGGCCAACACCAATCCATTGCCCACAGCTCTTCCACAGCTGATGTCAGATCTGCCTTACGTCCCCTGCTGACTTCACAAGTTTTGCTACCACAGAGGAACTGGAGGAGCTGAGTATTGGAGAAAGCAAATGCCTGTGGAAAAATGTGTGGGTTTAATGGCAGGCTCTAAACAGCAGCCTGGGTGCAAAATGATAGGGCTGTGATAGTCTGCTCTGGGATGGGGTTGCTTACAGTCACTCTTGGAGGGTTGTATGTTCTGGGCTAGAGTCTGACAAGCAGCTCCTGTGGCTGTGCCTTACTCTGTCCTGGAGAAGCAGAAGTTTGGGCACATGCATTTGTGGTTTGGCCCTCTCCTTGTGTTTTTCCACTGAAGCACTTTAGTATTTTTAGGCTGAAAGAGACGACTCTCTGCTATGCTGGAAGGATCAGGGCAGTCCTGTGCAGGCAGGACACTCTAAGGTGAAATACAGCGAGTGAAGTACAACACTAAAAACCAGCCAGGAGCCACCATCCCTGCTCACAACAAGGGAGGGGTTGAGGGGGGGAAGAATGGGCTCCAAGCTGCTGGCTGGTGGCATGGACAGCCTGCACACACACCAGCTGTGAGGCTCAGATGTCTGGGTGAGAGAGCAGCAACCAGCCCCAGCAGTTCCTGAAGCTGAGATGTCAGCTTTCCCTCCTCTGAGAACATAAAGGACATACTCCCCTCTCCCAGGAAACCACCTGGCCCACACAGCCTGGTGCACTGCCAAGGCAATTGTGGCTGCAGGCAGTGCTGGCACTGAGGTCCAGCACACAGAGCACAGCTCAGCCAGCAGTGCTGTTGGAGGGATGCAAGGCAGATGGGGAATGTCACACGGATCAAGAGCTTCCACAAGGGCCAGTGCAAAGCTAACAGGGCTAGAACCTACATTTGACCCTGCTAAAAAGGACCAGGGGTTGATAGTAGATGCCAGGTTCAATACAAGCCAAACATCTGCCTTGTGAATCAAGTAAACCACATTTACTTTCCTTCAGGAAAAGCGGAGACCAGGAGATCAAGGCGAAGAGCAAAACCAGCACACACCGGTGCAAGGAGGCTCCTGTGACCCAGAATACCCCAAAACAGAGCCCTTTAAAATGTATTTTTGGCAAGGAGAGAGGACGTGGTCTGCCAGGACGCTGGTGGCTGTGCAGCCACAGCTCTGGGCAGAAGGGCCTGGTCTCTGCTGGCTGCTCCCTCTGCACGGTCTAATGACGGCTGCAGGCACGCATCTCTTTGGAAAGAATTTCACATTTTCCACAAACTTTATGGAAACCAGGAAATCCAGTTAGGCACATCAAGAGAGGGGGGGTTGGGGCCTCATGTGGAGAAGAATGGAGAGGCACAAGGACATGGTGCCTGCAAAGGAGAACCGAACCAGGATGGGCAGAGGTTCCCAGGCAACAGACAGACCAGACCACTCTGTCTGCTCCAACTCCAGTTTATTGAACATTACAAAATACTCTGCATATATTTTCACATTATAACAATATCCTTGCAAATAATATATTAAGTCTTGAGTCATTTGTGGTGCCCATGGCTACAGAAAACACTGACCCAACTAGAGATTTAGTATGGCCCAATATCAGAAATCAAAACTAGAATAAGTCATACCAGAAATGCAAAACTATATAAAAACCTTTTAAAAACTTCATGCTCATCTGGTGGAACAGGTACAGAGCTGAAGGGCCTCTGCTGAGCCCTGCTGACAGGGCTGGGAGCCCCACCAGCTCACCTGCTCCACACTGGACTCGCCCACCCAGTGCATCCAGGTCCCCTTGGCACCTGCTGTCTCAGCACACCCACAGAGCCAGAAAAGGCAGCCTTTTATCTGCTTTGGAGCATTAACAGTCCAAGACCCCATTTTTCCCAAAGAGGAGTGACCCCCAACCTTCCTGCTCTGCCGGTGCCCAGCCATTGTGCTCTTTTGTGTGCTGAGCAGTTCTTGGGGTGAAATTCTTGGCCCTTGAGGTCACACCAGAAGTAATTCATCGTGTGTGCCACCAGCTCCCAGCACCCTCTGAGGAGGAAACAGGTGGCTGGGATGCAGGTGTTGGGGACAGACCTTTGAAGATGCACACTGGTCACACCCATCCTGCTGTACATTCATACCTGCTGCTCGCTCCACTCCTTGCACCATGACCAGTCCTCCCAGCTGATGCACCCCAGGCAACTGGGAGACTCAGACGTGGGCAGAAGGAACACCAAGGATGCTGTGCAGGGCAGCTGCCTGCCAGTAAAGCCAGAAAGCTGAACACTGCAGCTGCTGGGAACACATCCAGGCGAGGGTGCGAGGCTGGCACAGCAGGGTGGCTGTTAGAGGAGTCCCTGTGCGTACAGGTTTGCTAACCCAGCTCCTGGTGGAGCCAAGCCCCAGGAGCGCTGCTCCCAGTCCTGAGAAAGCCACGGCCTTGCCTCTGTGGTGCCTCCATAACCCGGGGAACACGGGGCTGTCGTGGCAAGGAGCCCATCTCCGAGCTCCTGGCTGAGCTCCATGCATGCTGTGAGGAACCAGCACTGTGGTCACCTTGAAGCCAATGGCTCAGTCACTGGGTGTGGGTGGGCTCTTGTGCACCAGTGCTGCTCTCAGCCCTTCTCCCAGAGGTCTCCTACTCACAGCCAGGCTGGAGACCAGCTCATACTCTTACACCTGTGAGCAGCCACAGCCCATTTCCAGCAGCCACCACCGCAGGGCAGCACAGCCAGGAGAGGATCAAGTCTGTTCAGGATCCCAGCCCTGGGAGAAATATCTCTAACCCCCCAGCTGCAGAGATGTGTAGGGACCAGAGAGAAAGAATGAGGTTTGGGATCTGTGCCTTCCTGGGCGGACAGGGGCTGGTACCTGCTGTCACAGCACAAAGACCAATTATTGTCCAGGTTTGCATCAGCAGGTGCATGGGCAAAGCACAACCTGGAGAACAGCTCCAGGAGGAATACTGGGTTCTCCTGTCTCTCCTGGAGTATATGGAGACACACACAAGCTTTGCAGTGCAAGACAGAGCAGTCACCAGGTCATAGCCTGTCTTCAGCTCTCAGACCCTTCCCAATCCACAGGATGCCTCAGAGGTGGCTTGCTCTGTTGAACATCAGCCACCTGGGCTCTGCAGAGGGTGGCATCCTGCCCTGCTCCTCTGTGGCCATCAAAGGTTGCAGCTCCTGCTGCTCGGGACCGTCCGGGCTGCTGTCACTCTGTGACCGGCCGCTCTTGGAGATATGGCTGGGGAACTGGAAGCAGGAGCTCTGCTCTGGCATCGCCTGGCTTGCAGACTGGGGTTGCTCCTCCAGCACAGGGCAGGCAAATCTCCTGTGCTGAGGTCCGCTCTCGATGCCTGGGGGGGAAGCAATGCTCTCCAGGGAGGAGATGCTTTGGTTCCACGCCTTCTGCATATCCACTGGCACAATTTTGGTGGTCTCCGAGGAGACATAAACAGCCAGATCAGCCTGGTCTCCTTTCCATGGCAGCTCCTTCTCTGCCAAGGTTGGTGACGGAGGGATGATGCAGGGGCTGGGGCAGACATCCAGGCTGCCTGGAGATGCAGATGGAGGGACAGTGAGAGGGAGCTTGCACAGCTCTCAGTCTCTCCTTGGACCCTGCAAACATTGCAGAACCAACCACTACCAAATGGCCACAGAACCCTAGAATATCCTGAGTTGGAAAGGACCCACAAGGATGCAGGACAATCCCAAGAATCACACCATGTGTGGTGGCCCAGGGATGCAGGACACAGGGAGGCTCTGCCATGCCCCCAGAGGACAGTGATTCTCCCATTCATGCTCTGGTTTTTGGTTTTGCCCAGGCCAAGGCAGCTTTGCTCCACAGGCAGAGGAAGGATAAGGTACCCAATGGCAGCTGCCCTGCATGGAGCATTGGTGCCTACCAGGAGTTGTCTTTCCCTGCAGGACCTCATCAGTGGCTCGAGCAACGAACACAATCCCCTCATCGTCCTCCTTCTCCGTCTCTGAGCTGTCACTCTCCTCCTCCTCTGAGCTGACCATCACCAGGACAGGAGCTGCAGGCAGATGGAAGAGGTTGGTTTGGTGCTAGCACAACCCTGGTGCTGTCATCCCACCGATCTCGCAGTGGGCAAGCACAGCAGGTGCTCCCATCCCACGCCACCAGGCCCCCCTGCCAGGACCTGCCATCCTCACCTGCCACTGGCCTTACCTGCATCCTGCCAGGGGACATTTCTGTGAGTCTTCCCATTGGGTGTCTCTTTGGTCAGAGAGATGTTCTTCTGTGAAAGAAGAGGAACTGGCAGGGACCTGTCTTGTGCAAAGCCCTAAACCAAGAGGTGGTCCTGCAAGCCAGCCACATTGGGCATGCAGATTCCCACCCTGGCTACATGGCAGATGGTTTCTAGTCCTTAGGCTTTGCATCTTCATGGCCCCACAAGGAACTGCTCAGCTGCAATGGCTTCAAAAGCCTCCAAATAAAAGAAGATATCTAAGGCTCAGTTTGAGATGTGGTGCCACACTTCTGAGCCTGGATCTCCACCAACACTGAGGCTGCTTTATGCTGAGTGCTCTTGCAAAACAAACCTGGGGCTCCTCCAGGGCTTTGCTCAGTGAAGAGCCACCCCACAGCACTGATGGCATGCTGGGGACACACGGACACACAACACTTGCATGCTCACATGCAGCATCAACAGGAGAAGAGATGAGCTGCTTTCCCCTCTGGCTCTGGAGCTGCTGATGCCCTGCAACACTTCACCTACACCGCAAAAGGACTCTCTTACTGCATCCTGGGGTGGCCAAATCTCAGAGCTAGGAAAAGAACAGGAGCTTGGGGAGGACTTGCCTTTTTCCTGCCTTTTTCCTTCAGCCTGGCCTTGCTCTTGGAGGAGCAGACATTGTGCTTTGTGGACTTGAAGGTCTCCAGACGCCTCTTCATGTTCTGCCGGAAGATTTCTTTATCTTGGCGCTCTTGTTTATCTGGAGAGATGAAGTGACGGCTGTAGCTGGCCTTGTACTGGCCGAGGGAGAGGCAAAGAGACACAGGGTGAGCAGCTGGCCCCACGGAGCACGGTCCATCCCCACTCCTCCTGCGGGTGCTGCTCCCCTCGGGGTCAGCCGCACGCCGTGGCCCGGGAGTGCTCACCCTCCGCCGGGGCTTGTAGAGGCTCCCTCGCAGCACGTGGTGCATGGCGGCGTCCTCCTTGTCCCGGCGGCTCCGCACCGTGTCGATCACCTGCAGGTCCAGGCACGCGCCGCTCCCGCTCTCCCTCCTGCGGGGAGATGGACGTGGACGGGCTGGGCTCCATGCCAGCCCCCTGCCAGCCCTGGTGCAACCTGCCCCCAGGGAAGAGGGCGGCTGTGAGGTCCAAGGAGGTCCGTGCAGGAGCTCAGAGGGATGGTTGTACTCACAGGAGGTTTGTGACTGATGACTCGGACATGGACGTGCGGCTGGGCATGGAGGGCAGCGCCAGCTTGGCAGCCGAGTGCACGTGGCCACCCTGGGAGGTGGGAGAACAAGGCTGGCATCAGGACAGCAAGGACCCAGCTGGGATGGGCAGGTCCCCACTGCCTGGCCAGAGGGTGCACATATGGCCATACACGAGGGGAACCTCTCCTGCCAGGGCCACTACTGCCTGTACCTGATCTACAAAGCTGATAGCATCCCGGATGTTCAGCTTGTAGTAAACATCCCAGATCTCATCCCGCAGCCTGTAGGCAGATTTCCGCATCAGGAGCTGGCTCAGGTATTTCTTGTCAAACTGCTCCCACCTGCCATGAGATGAAGACAGAGGCAGTTCAGCTCCCATGGGGTACCATGGCCAGGGATATCTACCCACACAAGGCTGAGTGTCCCAGGTATGGTGAAGGGAGGCTGGGCAGCAGGACCTGGCTGTGCACAGGGACACACTGCCAGGGAGATCAGGACGGGAGGGGACATAGTGACCCTTCAGCCTGCCCAAGGGGAAGCCAGACACCATCGGATCTGTGAGAGGTAGTGGGAGTAGGACTGGGGCCACCCTGCTGGAGCACTTCCCCTGCAGGAAACAGGCTTTTTGCATCCTTTTCCTGTCCCTGTGCTGCAGATAAACACTGCCCAGGCAGGAACAGGGCTGTTCCCTCCTCAGTGCCCAGAGCAGTTCCATCCATGAGGAGGCAGAGGGCCATTGCCACCAACATGGACACCCCAAGTTCTGACCTTGGCAAGCAATGCCAGCTCCACAGCATCCCAACCTGACCTCTTTCTGGGATGCTTTTGTGATCTTGGTCTGCTGCACAACAGCAGTCTGATGGTACCTATCCAGATTGATGGACAGACATACAGGCTTCCTGGTCCTGCTGCCCTGTCCACAGCAGGGGTGTTCTCCTGTGAGAACCCCAAGATGTCCCTGTGGCTGCCATGCATCTCCATTCACTAACAGTCAGCAGAGGATCCTGTCTAACACACTCACTTGTCCCGCCAGTAGTGGTAGCCGTGGTGCCCCACGATGTCCTCCACCGCTGCCAAGATGTGGTCAAAGGCCTTGAGTGAGGGGAAGAGGGTGAGTGGTGCAAGGCTGTGGGTGCCCTGGGGATGCCAAGGTCATACACGGCCCTCTCCCAGTCCCACAGGTGAGGGGAGCTGGGCAGCCTCTGGCACTATCACTTACGTGCTCATGCAGCTCCTCGTTCAGCGTGGGTTTGTGGTGGTCACTACGCTTCACCTTCAGCCACGTCACCAAGGGTTTGATGGTGAGGCCCTAGAATGGCAGGAGAAGGCAAGGGAAAGACTGGGAGGGCGAGAGGGTGCATAGCTGGGGCATGGGGAGCAGAAGCAGCACGAAGTGACTGGGGACAGTGGCTGTGCCAGCCACACATGCCCCTATCAACCCAACCCCTGTGCCATGGTGTGCACCCCCAGTCATCCTTCCCCTAGACTCATATTCATCCTCCCTGTGGCTTCCCTTCCCAGGGCACTCAATGCCAGAGCCGGGGCCCATCAGCAGCTTTGTAGAGAGAGCAGCCTGGACAGGCATGCACTCTTGGAGCTCCTGGAGCCAGTCCCAGAACAAAATGCCAGTGGGAAAAGAAGGTGGGCCATGGCCCCACCATCACAACAGTCCCCACCTCCTGGAGCCAGTCCCAGAACAAAATGCCAGTGGGAAGATGGGCCATGGCCCCCCATCACAACAGTCCCCATAGTGGTCCTGCCCACCTGCTGATGGATGGGGTGTCAGAAAGAACCAAGGACCAAAGGTCACTTGAAAAAAGATACTTTCCCAAAGCACGTGTCCCCAGGCCAGTTCTGTGGCAAGAAAGCAGCACCGGAGGAGGGCACAGTGCCCATCCTCACCTGCACAATGACAGTGAAGAACACCACCACGATGGTCGTTGCCACAAAGTAGTCCTTGGCTTTCACTTTTTCCCTGTCCAGCAGGATGACCAGGGCGAAGGCCACAGCCCCACGGAGGCCACCATATGACATGACCACCTGGTCGATCCTGTCCAGGGGGATGAGGCGGAAGCGGTTGAGCACGTATGTTTGGAGAACAACACCTGGGGAAGAAGGAGGAGGAGAGCCTGGAATGCTGGGAGAACCCTGTCTGCTCCAGCAGCACAGCACAAAATCCCAGCCAGGATCCATGGCTGGCCTTGTGCCCCAAGCTTTCCCAGGCAATCTCCCTTTTTGGCATGAAAAGGGCTGTGTGCTACCGGCCATATACACAGCAGGACAGACTGACCCACAGCTCTGAAGAGCAGGATAAAGAACAGGGTGCCCAGCACCAGAGCTGTGTCCCATGTCCACTTGGAGGTGTCCACAGCCGAGATGCCCAGAAACATGAAGATGATGGTCTCTGAACTGCTGGCCAGTGTCTTCATGGTGTACTTGACTGTGGTGCGGGATTTCTGGGAGATGTTGGCTTCCACGTACTTCTTGCAGCAGATCCCACAGAAGGTGACTCTGCAGAGGGGCAGGAGGAGATGGCATGGCCCTATGGCAGGATGAGGAGTGGTTCTACTCACTGCCTCTTGCTGCTCGGCACTGCAACCCCAGTTTCCTGGGTTGCCCTGGGGTAACCCAGTACTCACGCCAGGATGGCGGAGAGCGAGACCATCTCGGCGGCGAGGTACGCGACGTAGGCCAGGAGGAAGACGAAGAGCGGCTCGATGATGCGCACGCGCTTGGTGAACCGCGTGATCAGGGCCAGCAGGAAGGCGAAGAGCAGCCCCACGGCTGTGCCCCCCAGGCTCACCAGGAAGAAGGAGGCTGGTGGGAAGAGAAGTCTCATGTGAGCCATAAGGAAGTGGGCCCAGCTCCTGTGCCCCACAGCCATGCCATGCTGGGCTGGCCAAGTGCCGTGTTCCTACCCAGGTCCCCTCCAAAGCATCCCATGGACCACAAAGCTTTGGATGATCCCAAAGCATCCCCTGGAGCACCTCTGCTGTGGGGGCAGGCTGATAGAATTGGGGCTGTTCAGCCTGGAGAAGACCCTGGGGAGACCTCAGAAGCCCTTCCAGTACCTGAAGAGTACTCCAAAAGAGCTGGAGAGGGACTTTTGACATGAACATGGAATAGCATCCCCTGGAGCACCTCTGCTGTGGGGGCAGGCTGATAGAATTGGGGCTGTTCAGCCTGGAGAAGACCCTGGGGAGACCTCAGAAGCCCTTCCAGTACCTGAAGAGTACTCCAAAAGAGCTGGAGAGGGACTTTTGATATGAATGTGGAATAACAGGACAAGGGGGAATGGCTTCAAACTGACAGAGGGCAGGATTAGATTGGGTATTAGGAAGAAATGCTTCCCTGTGAGGGTGATGAGGCCCTGCCACAGACTGGCTGTCCCATCCCTGTAAGTGTTCAAGGTCAGTTTGGGGGGGCTCTGAGCAACCTGGTCTACTGGAAAGTGTCCCTGCTCATGGCAGGGGGGGTTGGAACAAGATGGTCTTTAAGATCCCTTCCAGCCCACACAATTCTGCAGTTCTATGCTGATGGCCAGCATGTGACACAGGGAGTGACAGAGCTGTGGTGCTCAGTGCCCACCCCACAGGACAATGGCTCCTGTGCTTGCCCTGCTCCATTTCCACAACAGAGGAAGAGGTGGAGGGGCTGGTGTGGCAATTACTCACCTACCCCCTTCACGTAGTCTGTGGCGTGGATGTGTGCTGGGCCCAGCTCCACAAAAGAGTTGAAGACCTTGTACAGCACCTGCAGGCAAGGCAAACCCCGTGAGAAAAACAGGGCATTGCCCTGCCTTGAGAGGGACAGGAAGGGTCCTGTGGAAGAGGCATTTCCACCCCAAACCTGTCAGGTAACAGCTCATTTCAGCAAAGTCTCCCAGGGCCAGGAGAGAGGAAAGGCCAAGAGAGCATGGCATAGGTCTGCCCCCAGCTCAGAGATATCACCTGCATCCTCTGCCCATCCTGGGGAATTCCAGCACCTTGGACATGTTGGGCTCAACATTAGAGTCCCCCAAGCTGCAACTCACCACAGTGACAGCATCGTTCAGGAGAGACTCGCCAAACACAATGATGAAGAGGGTCTCATTAACATGGACCTCTTCAAAGACAGCCAGGACTGCCACAGGGTCCACAGCTGAAATCAGGCTGCCAAAGAGCAGGAAATCCATCAGACCAGCTTCAACACCTGGATCTGTTAGGACAGAAGGACCAAAGTCAGGCAAACCAGCCACCCCAGAGCCCCTCTCACCAGCTGGAAATAAGCCTGTCCCTCATCTGATCCCAGTGATTTGGCTGCAGCATCTCAACTGGGAGTGCAGTGGGATGAGGCCAAAAGTGTTCCCAGACCTCCAGGATGCCCCTGGAAAAGTGGGACTTAGTGCCTTCTTGCTGCAACATGAGAGGAGCATGAGGGATGTCCCTGCTGGCCCCCAGGTGCATCACTGCTCCTCCAGCAGGCACCACCAAAGGTGGCTCAGCAGCCCCACCTCGGGTCCAGGCATCAAGTGGCTCCTCAGGGCTCAGGAGAGCTCAAAACACAGCCCAGGCCAGCCAGTGGCTCCAGCCAAGGACAGGGAACACACGGCAGCGAGCCAGCAACGCTAGCCAAGGTCGGCAGACAAAAATAGCAAAGACATGAGTCAGCCCAGAGCCAAGCAGGGCCCGTCTGCCCTGCACGCTTGACCGTCCTGCCAGAGCACCATTCCCAGGATGTCAGGACCCTGCTTGTGCTGTAATTCCTAGGAATCCACAGCAGGGAGAGGCAGTGGGCTATGAAATTGGGGTTGCTTTGTACCTCCAACCTATATTTTGGGGATGTGGGCCGAGCTGGGCAGCCCTGCACACCCACCCATGAGCCCGGCCCGGTGCAGGCCCCAGAGCGCGGTGCCGGTGGCGAAGGAGTTCCAGAGCGTGCCCACCACTGCGTAGGTGAGGATGGCACCGATGTTGTCAAAGAACAGCCGGCTGGGCATGAAGTACCCCGAGTCCAGGACGATGGGGGGCAGAAGGAAGAGGAAGAACATGTTGGGCTCCAGCTGGTACTCGGCTTTCTTTGCCACGGCCAACACGATGCCCCCCAGGCCCAGCCCCAGCAGGATGAGAAGGCAGCTCTCCGGGACAACAGATGTCACCTTCCTTGACAGGTGAAAAACTAGAAGAAAAAGAAGAACGAGAGCATCAGCCAAACAGGCACGTGGACAGAGCATCCCAAATCCACAGGCTTCACAGAAGGGTTGGGTGATGCATGATGGATGGGAGAAGAACAAGGGAGCACCTACGGAAAAGCTGCTTTATGGCCACATGTGCACAAAAGGCCTTCCAGCTGCCTCCCAGGTCAGGATTTCAGGTCTCTGACTCTTTAGGATTTCCCTCTCAGCCACTGTCTAATAAGCCAATCAGCCAGGCATTTTACTTTTCTTGGCTTCTGGTATCTGCACTTAAAGGTTTAAAGCAGGCAGCGAACACGTTCACAGTCACGAGCACTGCTGGCTGCTCTTCAAGTGAAGAAATCCTGGTACACCGGGACATGTCACCCCACTCAGAGACGAGGATGCTCAGCCCTGGTGACAGGGTGACCTTGTTTGCATCCATCTGAGCAAGCACCCAGAGCATGCAAACCACTGCAGCACAAGCCATGCCCGAGCACAACCTCCCTCAGCACTAGCTAACCTACCTGCATGCAAAAACACAGGCACTTGGGAGCTGCACGTTTAGAGATGCTTGGAATAATCAGTTTATTCCATGCAAGGTTTGGGCCAAATCTTAAGCTGCCGTTGAACAGGATGTATTTCCTAAAGCAAGCAGAGGATGCCCTGTATTCATCCGTCAGTAATGTGGCAGTGAACCTGTGCTCAGGCACAAGCCAGCAGGGTGCCACATCAGTCAGCACAGGGGATTTGTTCCTCCAGGCACCCTTGTTCCCATGTCAGGGTGCCCTGTGTAATCCCAAATCAGTCCAGCTTCCAGGCAGGCAACCCCCATCCCTGGGGGTTTCTCCTCACTAGCACAAGGTGCTGTATTTCTGCTGCCCCTCCAAAAGGGCATTGCTTGGGGAAAGGCCACTGAGTGATTTTGTCCCCCCATCACTGGGTTCTGCCATCACTTGTAACATCCAGCCCAGCTCTGTTGCATGACTTGACCATCAGATGAAGAAATCTCCTGGGGAGTGGGTTCCTCCAGGTACTCCAAGAGCCACCTCTGTCCTTGTGCACCCAGCAGGTACAAGGGACATCAGGGCAGGCTCTGAGCCATCAGTTGGCTGCGAGCCCAGCCCTGCTGCCAACCCCAAAACCCAGTCCCTAAAGCCCTTTAGCTGGACTAAGGCTGCCCATTGCTTGTGCCAAGCTACCCCTCCAGAAGGAAAGTTGTGCTGTGGTCATGCACCAGCCCTGGGTCACTCAGCTGCTTCCCTCCTTTGGGACCCCAATGGACAGACCATAAGGTCTGCCTAGCCCAGGGTGCTGTCTCCAGTGGCACAGGCCTGGACAGGAGCCCAGGAACAGGCAGTACTTCATCAGTAGGTTTCCATGTGTCTATGCCCTTGTCATTCTCCTCTGCACCTGTCCTGGTCCTGCTCTATCCTTCTGGGACAGGTCCCAGGGTCCCCGAGATGTGGGCAGCCAGAGAACTGAGGTTGTGGCCTCCTGATGTTCTTCCTTTCTCCTTTCCCAGCACCTCTTAGGTGATTTTCCTTCCTTCACCACAGCTGAGCTCTGAATTAGCAGAGATAATTGAATGACAAAGATCTGGTTCACAACCAAAGACATCATTGAACCCACCACCCAATGTGCAGGTTAAGGACCACTTTTCCTTCAGCTGAGGACCTCAAGAGGTTGCTGCTTGGCACAGTGAGCTCCATCCATGCCCCAGCACTGGCTCCCTGCCATAACACAGCAGGAGCCCTGCTGCAGCCAGCAGGGGCAGAGCAGTGAGCACAGGGGCAACACGATCTGCAGCTCCACCACCAGGCACCTCAACAGGAAAGAGCACCCAGGCCAAGCCTCTGCCACTGAACACCCCAGCCACAGAGCCTGGGGAACCCCCCTGAGCCCCAGCCACCTGGGCTCACTGCTGTGGGCTGCAATACAGCCCTGGAGACTGTGGTGATATGGACACTACAGCCCTCCAAGCAAACCCACAGCCTGAAGAAATGCTGGCTGGGCTTCATCCAGGCCAAATTCCTGCTAAATGACCACACAAGTCACTGCAGAGCCCTGTTCACCCCACACAAGCTGCTTTCACCGGTGGACGAATGGTGCTCACTCAGCGCCTGCAGCAGGCTGTGAAGCCGCTTCCCACCCACGGGAACAAAGCTCTGAAGTTTTCAAGAAGGGAACGAGGCGTCCAGCCCCTTTCTGCATTCTCAGGAACATTGCCAAGATCCCTGCTCTCTGCTTCGGCAGCCCAGCTGCATTCCTCATGCTGTGGAGCTGTCCTGGCTGGCTGGGGGACCCAGGAGAGCGTGCAGGGATGCTGTGGGGACGTGGGTCTTGCCTGTCATCCATCATGGAAGTGTTCAAGGCCAGGATGGATGGGGCTTTGAGCAACTTGGTCTAATGGAAGGTGTCTCTGCCCATGGAAGGGTAGCTGGAAAATGATAATCTCTAAAGTCTCTTCCAACTCAAACCATTCTGTGTTCTATGATTGATTTCACCAAGCCAGAAACTTGGTCAAATAAAGGAGAAGCATCAATGGGAAAGATCATGCTTGTCCAAAAATCTGCTGGCTGATGGGGAGAGCTGCCAGCCTCCCCAGGAAATGGCAGCACATGAGCTCCCATGTGTCACAGAGAGCAGCCAGTGGGGACAGACTGAACGAGCTCTAATTTTATACACCATAGTCAAGGATTTCAGCACTAAAGGTTCCCACAGCAACAGTAACTTAGCCACATGTGAATTAACTTCAGAGACATAATCCACACTCAGGCATACATAATAAAGGATTTGCCACTGAGAGAACTCAGGGCCAAAACCTCTTGTGCTCCTCCAGAGCTTGGGAAATGGCAAAACACCTAAACCAAGACAAGAGCAGAAGGGGGCAGAGGTGATGGAGTGAGGAAAGATGGTTGCAATGCTGCTGCATAGAAAAGTATCTGTCTGCTGGCAAACTCCTGCCTGTGGGGCAGCTGTGTGTAAGCAGAATGTTTGGGGCAATGCTCATGACCTCTGTGCTCCCCATCCTGTGCTCTGACTGTGGATGGAAAAGGCAGCAAAGCCCGGATGATGCCTCGCTGTGCAGGAAGGCAACACCCAGGCCAGTTTTTCCCTGCCCTGGGTGTTTGCTGGCTCTGGTCACCCCAGCATCGTGACTGCCTCTGAGAACAGAGCCCACAGTGTCATTTCCCCATCACCCGGGCGTGGGGCCGCTTCCTCCCCTGCAGTCACAGGGCTGTGAGCTGGCAGCCCAGCGCCACAACCGCAGCGCATCCTCTGCGCCAGCCGAGCCCAGTGTCCACAGCTGGCACTGCCCTCTCTGCTCCCCAGAATCCTCCACCCCTGGTTCAACTCCTCTGTGGGCTCCTGTGCACCCTGGGGACTGCAGGTGCCATCTGTGGGGACACCCATGTCAGGGTGCTGCCTGCAGCTGAGCCTGCAGGTCTGGGCTATTGGCTCCAAGCTCTGAGGATCCACTGGACCCACTGGATACACTAAACCTGGCAGCTGGAAGCCATCAGGGTTGTGTCTCACAGACAGAGAGGAGAGTGGCCATCAGCCTCAGGCCTGGAAGAACGTGGCAGATCTGGGGATTTGGGAATGATCCCAGCTCAGGCCTCCCTGCACCCACCAGCACAAAATCAGGGTGGCTGAGGGGTGCATGTCAATGGAAACCTGCACAGGGAGCAGCTCTGGGGAGAGGTTGGAGAGAAGAAAATAACAGCCAGGGGAAGGAATTTTCTCTCTGATCTTCTGCAGGTAGGAGGGACGCACTCGGCAGCTGGAGGTGGCACAGCTACAGCAGAGTGCTGTATTTTTAAACTCATGATACCTTTTAGTTAATTCCTCGCGAGGTTTTAAGTCTCTCTTGCAAGAAGGCAAGGAAGGAGAGGAACGGAAGATCCACAGTGATGCTGGGACAGGAAGAGGCCAGCTGGTGGTCACAGCTGTAGCTGTCTCCTGTGTAACGAGTGCTGCTGCACATCCCTGGCTGATCAGAGATTCCCCTGCCAAACTCTGAACCCCCATTTCTTGATCCAACTGGAAACTAAGAGAGTGTCTGTGCCCCCACAACAGGGGCTGTGTCCACAATGGTGTCTCTGAGGAGAAAACCTGGCTCAAGGTCACGATCTCATCCCCTGGGCGCAGCACAGCAGGCAGGGGCACTGTGGGGGACCAGCCCTCTGGGTACCCCTGCTTGGCACCCACGCACGGGTGTCCGCTCCCCAGCACCCCGGATGCTGGTGGGGAGCCCAGCCCTGCGCAGCTCACACACATCCTCATTGTGCCTTCCCACACAGCCTCTCACAGCAGAGCCTCCCCTGCCTGCGTGGTTCTGTGCTGGGGAGCACAAGAGTCCAAGGCCAACCCAATCCGGAGTGACCCACTGGAGGAGACTGCAGGCACCTGCCATCCCCAGGCTGCTGGGAGCACATTCTGCCTGGCACTGGCAGCACCGAGCCTTTCCCCGGGGCTGGGGGGGAACAATGGCTTCCAGACCTGCCAGTGCCAGGTGCTGTGCCAGCCTTTGGGAACACGGGACATCCTTTGGGGCTTCTCTTCTCATGAACCCTCCATCCTCTGTGCCCACCCATCTATCCATCCATCCCTCGCAGGAAAAAAACAGCCCGGGCCCCCACCTTTTCCTTCGGGTGGTGCCTCAACCCCGCCGCCGCACATCATCCCACGGCAGGGCACGGAGGATGTGGCGTGTCCCCGACCTCCGCAATCCAGCTGAGAGTGGTGACCAGCCGGATTTGTCCCCATGACCCGTGTCCCGGCGTGCGGTGACACCCCTCGTCCCGCGTGCCCCCGCGCCCGCCGGGGATGCCGCATCCCCCCTGCCTGCCCGGGGGTGGGCGCGTCTGCTCCCGGGGGACCGGAGCGGGTGGGGACATGGGGACACACTCACCGATCTTGGCCAGGCTGGCTACCAGGATCCAGGCGGCCACCAGGCAGGGCGCCTGCACCTCCCGCCACTGCCAGCGCAGCAGCTCGGCTCCCGCCGGGGCGGCGGGGCCGGGGGAGGCCGCCGGGGGCTGCATGGCCCCCCCCCCCCCCGCCGCTCCCCGCCCCAGCCATTAGCACCTGCCCCGGACCCAGCACCCCCCTGCTCACCCCTTGCATCCCCCCGCTCCATCCCAGCTCATCTGGCGCTCCCGGAGCCCCCTGGGCCGTGCTAGTCTCCTGTCCCCGTCTCAGTCCTCTCTGCAGCTGTCCCCGTGCCACCGCATCGCCCCAGTCCCCCATGCCCTCCCCCGTGCCTCTGCTTTGTCTGAGTCTCCCCACTTTGTCTGAGTCCTCACGCACCCACCAAATTCCCCACCCTCCTCCACACCCAATCCCCCTCCCAGCCAGCCCCTTCCCAGCTGAAACCATCCACCCCTGGCCCAGGTGCTGCCTGAGCACCAGCCTGGGAACACCCATGAGGGGGGCCCAAAATTTCTGTCTCCTCTTTACCTCCTCAGCCCCTCTCAGATACTCCTAAAATCTCCTGCTTGCTGATTAGGCCATCCACCATGCCCTTGGAGGTGCCCCATCTCCCACACCCCATCCCTGAGGCTCCCAGTCCAGGAGATCCATGTCCTGGGTGGGCAGCAAGCCATGCCCAAGCAGCTCAGAGAGATGGAATGCTGGGCAGGGGGCAAGAAGGGGCCCTGGCAGAGTGCTCCCTGCAGAGCCAGCTCTCACGTGTGTCCACATGTCCCTGGAGGACAGGACAGGACAGGACACCACAGCCAGAGCAAGACCTCTGGCTGGTAGTGCCTATGGCATGGGCAACTCTCAGATGCTGAGTACCAGCCTGAGTCCACTGGCCAGGTAGGAATGGGCCACAGGACACTTCCCTGGGAGCCTCGGTGGCATCACCTTTTCTCATCTCTCTGCCTGGGTACAAATGTGCTACAAATGTTTGCCAGCAGAAGCCAGAGGCTGGGGAACGCAGGCCGGAGGCAGGAGCAAGGGGAAAGCTCCCTGCCCACCACTCCATCACATCTGATCATTGTCATTGTCCAGGTAATCTGTCAAAAAGAAAGTAAAATGGCTTTTACACAAGCTTTGCTTTGCAGTTTAAGCTCAGAATGCCCCACTTTCAGTGTGGCATCATAACACCCCTGGATCCAGGAAGCTCACCCTGTGCTGCTTCCCCCCTGCCCCAGGATGGGGAGATTGAGCCCAGCTGCCCATCCGTGCTCCAGTTCATCTGGGGGGAGCCAACCCACCTGATCCCGTGGAGCAGCCTGGAACCTCATGGGGCCTGGAGCATCCTGGAGCATCCCAGTGGTGCTCCACAGGGCCTGGAGCACCCCTGACGCCAGAGCAACCTGGGGTCTGGAGATCCTCAATACCGGAGCACCCTGATGGAGCCCCCCAGAACACGGAGCATCCATCCTGGAGCACCCCTGATGGCAGAGCATTCCAGCGGAGCCCCCAGAGCCTGGAGCATCCTTCCTGGAGCACCCCTGATGGCAGAGCATTCCAGCGGAGCCCCCCAGAACACAGAGCATCCATCCTGGAGCACCCCTGATGGCAGAGCATTCCAGCGGAGCCCCCAGAGCCTGGAGCATCCATCCTGGATGCGCCCGCGGGAGGGCGCGCCGAGCCCCGAGCCCGGCACGGCCTCTCCCGGGACAGGGAGGGCGGAGGGGCTGGGCCGAGCCGGGCCGTGTCCGCCCCGTGTCGCACGGGGCCGCGGCGGCGGCGGGGCCATGGCGGTGGCGGAGGCGGCGGAGGCGACGGTGCCATGCCGGGTGCAGTACCTGGAGGACGGGGATCCCTTCGCCTTCGGCAGCTTCCCGGAGCCCCGGCGAGCCCCGGTTTACGCCGTGGAGGAGGCGCTGGCCCTCGGGGTGCAGCTGCCCGCGCTGCACCGCCTGGTCGGGGCCCCGCTGCCGGTGAGCAGGGACGGGGACGGCGGAGAAAGCACCGTGCGGGCACCGTGCGGGGACGGGATGGGGATGGCTGGCTAGAGGGGACCGGGGGGCCAGGGATCGGACGGGGTGTCCCCGGCAGCGCTCCCGGTGTGAGTCACGGCGGGATTTGTGAGCCTCTGCGGGAGATGCCAGCCTCGGCCGGCCCCGAATGAGTCGGCTGGAGGAAGAGGATGTGCTGCAGGCAGGAACCCTGGAGGGGGAAACAGGATGAGGGCAGGCGTCTATCCCCGTATGGTCGGGTCTGAGACAGGCAGCGTGTTCCCCCCGGCCTCGCACTTCCACGCCGGCAGCCCGCAGCGGAGCACCCCGGCTCCGCCTGGGACCTTCCGTGTTCCGTCTTGCTGCGGCAGCTGGAGCTTGGGGAGGTGATGGTGGGGGCTGAGGGCCACCAGCCCCTCATGTCACCGGCCCGGCAGCAGCTCTGTCACAGGAGAGCAGTACGGAAATGCATGCTGAGCAATATCCTTCAGCTGGGAGGAAGGCAGGAGGCCGAATGTGAAGCGAGGCACCTTGTCTTGTTTGTGTGTCCTCAAGTCTGGCTCGGGCTGGGATGTGGAGGAGACAGGGGAGACAGGGCACCCTCCCTGTGTATCTCCTGTGGGCGTGATGCTCTCGGAGCATCCTTCTCAGGATGGACACAGGCTTGTTTTCTTCCTCAGGAACGCAGGACCCAGCAGAGCTTGGCAATAGCCGAGCATCTCCGTCTTGCAGCACTAGAGGAGTGCAGGGCAGGGAGGCAGGAACCCCGGCTGGCTGGGGGAGCTCCGCTCAGAGCCAGAGAGGGAGCAGCAGGAGGGGGAAATTCAGCTCGGTGTGCCCGACACTGAGCTTGCTGGCCTTCCAGGGGAGAGGGGATCGCTTTGAGACCTTTGCCTGCACCAAAAAAACCCCTCCCGTTATTTCCCTTTTCATTTTTCTTGGAGCAAAGAAGCAGCGTCTCATGTCGTCGCCGTCATGGGATTTTTAGGCGGTGACTAAAGGGAGTTTGTTTGGGAACAAACAGCCTGGAGACATGACGAATGGAGCAAACTCAAATTTCAGGCGTGTGCTGTGCTCCCTGTGCAGGAGCTGCCTGTAACGGGATCGCCAGCCCGGAGTGCTGCCATGGAGGCACGGGGCAGTGGGAGGGGGGAGGGAGACTGGACACTGCGTTCCCGAGGGAGGGAGCGTTGCAAGGAGCTCCTGTGCCCAGCAGAAGTGTGCTGATCCTGGGATTTCAGGCTCTGTTCTCTACCTAATCCAAGTTCTGGATATTTTGTTTCCTGTAGTTTCCTGTCTCATCCCATGACCCTTGATGAAATCACAGGTGAACCGCCTGGATCCTGTTCTGGGTTTTTAAACCAGATTTCTGGATTATATAGGTTATAAACCATGCTGCCTTTGCCACACAGCACTCTCTGAGGCAGCAAGGGCTGCAGAATGTCCCACCTGACAAGCTGGGGTGCTGGCTGGGGTTTGCATGAGCAAATGTGTCCATTGGGAGCCTCCCACACTGGGATTTGCAGCCTGTGGAGTGAGGTCAGTCTCCCAGGCCACCCAGCTCAGTTGAAACTCAGAGCTGGCACCCTTGGAGCCATGCAGATGTCGTTCCCCTGGCACGACCAGCCAAAGCCTCCCCTGGTGCCTTTTGTGCCAGGTAGCACTCAGCTCCATTAGTCACCGCCCTAAAATTAGTAAACGAACAGTCGGATTTTTCCCAAAGAACTGACTGTAAAAAAATTCAACTCAGAATGCCTTGTGCCAGGTTTATCCTGCTGGGCAGCATGCCTGGACCTGCAGAGCACTGGAAGAGGATGCAGCAGCCAGGAGGGAGCTGGGCTGGGTACCCTCATCGTTGGAGGAAGATTGAGCTGCAGACACCCAGGGGATGAGCTGCCATGGGAGAGCAGCCGAGCCCTACCCTTGCTGGGCACAGCTAAGCAGCTCCCTGTGCTGAGAACAGCTTAGAGATGATGAGCAAGAGGTTTCTGGGGCAAGCATCACTGTCTTGAATAGCCTGTCCTGCCCCATGACACCCTTGGTGCTTCCTCTCCCTGAACACGACCTGTCACTGATGACTTTTTCATGCTCTCCGGGAAGTGTGTTTGTGCTTGGAAATACCTTCCTGCTTTGTTTGCTGCTGCTGCATTGTTTGCCTCCAGGCTGATACTATCTTCTCAGCTTTCCAGCATTTTTCTAGTACCCTTGGGTGATGCTTGGGCAAGGCGTGGCCATTCTCTGAACCTCTGCAGGCAGGTTTTGACAGGGCAGGTTTTTTTGGCTGTCCTTTAAGTCCCCAAGTGCCCCTGCGGCTCCCTTGAGCACTATCTCACCTCTGAATCTGGGGATTTTTCCAAACAATTGCAAAACCCATCAGGCTAGAGCTTTGCATTCTCCTTCCTCCCCCGGAAATCTGGGAAGAGCAAACAGTTCGCTGGCCTCAGTGCTATAAACTTGCTGAGAGCTCTTGCACTCAATAGACGTGCTGGTGGGGCAATCTCTGTGTGTGAAATGAGCAATCCCCATCCCACGGCCCTGTTGCCCTCTGTTTCCTAACAGGATTGAGGAGGGCTTTGGTGAGGGTCTTTGCCCCACTTCACCTCTGGATGGCACAAAAGCAGTGAGGAGAGGTCATCAGCGGCCCCCAGCACTCCCCAGCTCCCAACACCATCCTTGCATGGATCCCTGGAAGGGAGCTGCAGCCAGGCATTTGTGCCATGGCTTTTCCAGGACACCAACTGCTGCCTGGGACTGGGCTCCTCCCACTGCCACAGGTCTGTTGATGAGAAATAAGAGATCTGTTAATGAGCAATGAGCCCAGCTGGAGGAGCTTCCAGAGGGAAGCAAGTTTGCACTTCTGGGCAGACTCTGGGTGACTTGCAGAGATCCCTCCTGGCTTGGGTATTATTTCCTGCCCCCATGATAGGGCAGTGGCAGTTTTCTCATCCATCATGCAGGAGTGGACAAGCACCTGGGTGCTCTGGCAGTAGACACATCTCTTAACCCTGCATCTAAATTGTGGTGAAGGTGCTTGGCTGGGGTTGGGGTTGGGGTGGATCCTGTGGCTGGTGGAACTCTATGAACCATCAGCCCCTGTGTGTTTTAGCAGGAAGAGCAGCAGCTGGGCTGGTGATCCCAATGCTTTCTGACCTGTCAGTGCCTTGTGTTTAACTGCTGCCTACTATATTTAAATAATAGATTTTTCCTGTAATTTTCCCACAGCCTTTCTAGAAGAGCTGTAGCAATGTTGAGAAATTGTGGTTACTGCAAAAAGAAAGTGTTAGAAAGGGGGTAAAAGTGTTTCCTTTGCTGGCAGATAAAGAGGATATTCGCTGTCTGGTCTTGGAGCATGTGGGGATGCTGTGATAGCGGTGAGCAGGAAAATGTGATGCTGTGGTGGGTGGTGTGAGTTTGTCTGTGCACGGACGATGTCTCCTTACTGGAGGTGAGGAGGTTTCCATCACACCCCCATTGAATCCTGGAATGCTTTGGAGTTGAAGGGACCTTAAAGGGATCATCTTGTTCCACCCCACTGCCATAGGCAGGAACACCTTCCATTAGACCTCTTGTTCCAAGTCCCATCCGACCTGGCCTTGAACACTTCCAGGGATGGGGCATTCAACACAGACAGAAACCTTTTCCAGGTCACGGATCCTTGTTTCACATCAGGGCTGGCACCAGCATCGTGTCCTCATCAAGACCCCAGAACCTCCCCGTGAATGTGTGAAGGACATCCGTCCTGCTGCAGGGTGGCTGGGACTCCCAGGAGCCACGGGCTGGATGTGTGAGTGTGGGACACTCTCCTCTCCCAGCTCTGCTTTGCCCTCAAGTCCCCATTGCCCTCAAAGTCTGGCTCATTTTGTAATGGTTTACCAGGCAGGAGACAGATGAAGCTGTCAGTAACCTGTGACCCCAACTTGCTGCCCCCAGCACCATGACACAGATCCCAGATTGATCCTACAGGGTGTAAACCCCTTGTCTGAATAACCCCTGGCCCTGGGGCAGTTGCTGCTCCCTGGCGTGGAAGTGCTGCCCAGGATTTTTGGCAGGGCTGCAGGAGCCTGGGACAGCCTCTCTCCATCCCCAGGGAGGCCACAGCCAAGCCAGGGCCCCGTGCTTGGAGCATCCCTAGTGGGAAACGTTGCCAAGCTCACACGGGAAATACGCGGGGTCAGGTCCCAGGGGCTTGGCCTCCCCCCACCAGCTGAGACATGTCACCAGCCCCAGAGGAGCTGGGGATGTTAACTTTGGCTTGCTGGGGCTGTGGCAGCCCAGAGAAGGCAAGGCTTTTGTACTGGGGTGATTTGCTCTTTGCTGACTTAGAGTGCTGGGGTGCATGCAGGGATGCCTGAGGGGATGCCCAGGAGGCTGGCAGAGGTGGCCAGGAGGCTGGGATGCAAGGGTGGCCAGGAGGATGGGGTGCATGCAGGGATGCCTGAGGGGATGCCCAGGAGGCTGGCAGAGGTGCCAATGGGGATGCAAGGGTGGCCAGGAGGATACAGAGATGTCTGGGAGGATGCCCAGGAGTATGCAGGAATTGGCTGTGTGGATGCAGGGATGTCCAGGTCGATGCAGGGATGCAGGACAGCCTGCCCCAGTGGAGGAATTGAAGCATTCCCCAGTGAGCAAACCCTGTGTGGGGTCAGTGTTAGGGACTCACATTGTGAAGGCAGAGCTGGCAGCCAGGACCTGCCCAGTGCCAGCAGCCTGTGTTTGCTGCACATTGCCATGGCTGGCTGGCGTGGCCAGTGACCACAGGAGGTGGAGCGGGACACGTCAACGTCCAACCCAACAACAGTGCCCTGCCAAATTGCCCATATTATACTTCAGTGCATGTGTCATTTGACTTTACCCTCTGGTATTAATGTCACACTCGCAGTGAATTCAGATGTGTGAGCTCATGCACAATGCTGGAATGCAAGGAGATAGAAATGTCATGGAAAAGAGTCCCAGTGAGATGCAGGAGCCATACCCGGTGTTGTGGGATTTCCAGAGCCACAGTGGGGAAAGGCATTGATGGGAAAGGCAAAGAAGCTGTGACTGTTCCCACCTGAGCTCTTCAGCCACAGGACCGTGCCTGGAGCTTTTGCAATGTGGGGCTGAAATTGAGGTGGGGTTTTAGACGGCTGATGGATCCCCACTTCTCTCCCCTATTGCTGCTTGCTCTTGTTTGCACCATGAGCAGCTTTATTAATGGGGTTTTATCCCCAGTCCTCAGTTCCTGCCGTGCAGACTGTTCCTCAGAGATGGGTTGAGCAGGGAGAGGGTGGGGCAGGGGAGTTGCAAGTGCTTTAGGAACAGATCCAGATGTGCAGGGGAGGCAGGGTGCTGGCACTACCCTCCCTCTGCTTCTGCTCGTGCCTCGAGGGTGAACTGCCGTGTCCCAGAAGACCTGCCGGGGTGCTGTGGGGTGCTGCTGGCTCCAGGGTACCTTAAGGACTTTGTGGGTGCCATGTCCACTGGCTGTGCACCATGGGTGCTGTGCATGGACTTTCTGGGAAGGTGCCCCTTGCCCCAGCCTTGTCTCAGGGCTGTGCTTATCCAAATTCTGATGGAAGATGCCACGTGGCTCTGGGCTGAGTCAGAGGGTGTGTCAGCCAGGGCACATCCCAGGGATATGCATTGCTTTGGGGGGTCCCTGGCTGGGCTGGGTGCCTGACAGCTCCCTCAGACCCAGTCCCTGCAGGCAGGGGCAATTTGCCAGCCCTGGGAGGAGACAGATCCTGCCCCAGCCGAGCCCCTGCTGACTACGGGGAGCCCCAGGGAGCCAATCAGCCTCTTGCCATGGTTCCCACCCAGGGATTGCCAAGGAGCTCAATGCTGGCAGGACTGCTCTCACTCAGCCTTTTCCAGCCTGGGGCTCCATGTTTCTCCATAATCAGCACCAGGCTGGGGCAGAAGGTGCTGGGGCATCTCCCTGCAGAGCCAGTGACTGGGGACAGGTGGGACATGACACCCCACTCCAGGATGTCTGCCAACTGAGTTTGGAGTGGGTGGGAGAGTGACCTGGGAATGCTCTGGAAGCCTGTAGGGCTGCGGTGGGCATGGGCACTCAGCCTTGCTGTCTGCATCCCCAGCTGGAGGACTCCACACTGCAGGTCTCACCCTCTGGACACTACCTGGACCTTGACTTATCCCTGCTGGAACAGAAGGATGATCTGGAGGGTTTCTATGAGGAGGTCAGGTAGGGCACATGGGGTACCTGAGCCCTGTGGGGACATAGGGACCACACACGTGTGTGTACACCACGGGCAGGGAGCCAGGGGCTGGGGTGATCCCACTGCAGGTGCTCACAGCACATTTTCCCCACCTCAGGAAGGGGAGACGGCCGACCCTGATCCTGCGCACGCAGCTCTCCGTCCGAGTCCACGCCATCATCGGTGAGTCGGGGCTGCTCCCTCCTCCAGCCTGGTCCAGCAGCTCCACTGCCCTGCATGGGGGAGGTTTGGCCTCTGCAGTGAGTTTTGGCCAGGGTTTTTGTGATGGAGACGGCTGCTTCCACCCTGTAACCCCTCCCAGAGCTCAGGGGATGTGGTCCTCATGGGGTACCCGCTGGGTTAATCCCCTCCATCCTCAGAAATCAGGACGTTTTCCTCTTGGGCTGGGAGCCCACCACCCACTGCAGTTATTCTGGGTCATTCAGGCAAGCTCTAAATATAGCTGTGAAGACATAAACAAAGGGCTCTTGCGCAGCAGAAAGTGCTGCCATGGTTCAGGCAGCCTGCTCTGAGGTCCTGCAAAATATTCAGGAGTCTCAAGCCTTTTTTTTTGTCTTTGGCAGGGGGAAAACAAGCACTGAGCAGAGTGATGCCAGATGGGCATGAGCTGACTGTGCAGGGCTGCAGCTGAACCTTGCAGGAAGGGGCAGGAAGCCCAGGGTCAGGGTCATGGTCATGCTCTTTGCCAGCAGTTCCCAGGCTCTATCTGGACCCTGAGCTCTTCTGCTTTTCCTCCCAGCAGCTCTGTCTTCCCTCTCAGTTCTCTGACAAGCTGATAAGCAAGTGGAGGAGGCTGCCGGGACACTGTGTTTTACAGGGCTTGTCTGGAGGACTACTTGGACATCTTGTTTTTGGCTTGTTGCAACTCTAAGCCTGACCCAAATAAGTTGGGATGTGTGGCTAACTCAGTTTTTGCATGTGGGAAGTGCTGGCTCCCAATGGCTTTGGTGTCTTCATGGGCCTTCCAGCTTCCCAATGCCCTGGCTGCTCCACGCTGGCTCCTGCCTGGAGGCACCAACCCCATATGTAGATAGTCTCCAGCCCAGTGACAGTCCTGTCCCTGGGCAACCTGTGTCACACTACTGGCCTTCCTATCTCCATCCTGTGGTTTTTTTCCCAAGCCCTGGGGCTGCTGGGACCTCTGGAAACCATGGCATGGCTGTGCCCAGGGAGGGATGGCTAAAAGTAGCTCAACCTCTTGCCTGTGTTCCTGTTTAGGTTCTGCACAGGAAACCAGAGGGGATATTTGTGTCATTGCTGGTCAGAAAAAGAGGGCAAAAAAAAAGGAAATAGGAAAGTGGGAGGGCTGAAATATGTAGTTGTGGTACAGCAGCTGCTTCCAGCCAATGTGTCCCACGGCCGGGGCAATGCCAGGGTGATGGCACAGAGATCAGGATCAGGATAAGTCAGGGTGAGGGGCTTTCCCAGGAAGCTGGGAGCATTTGGGAGCCCCAGTTCAGCAGTGAGCCACTCACACCACATCTCTCCTTTCCTTCCAGAGAAGCTGTACAACTCGCAGGGGCCTGAGCTGCGGAGGTCCCTCTTCTCCCTGAAGCAGCTCTTCCAGGTGAGATGGTGCTGGTGTGGTGGGGGACAGGGGCTCCCCCAGGGCTGGCTGCCCACCCCACTGTGGTAACACTTGGCCTTCTCCCCACAGGAGGACAAGGACCTGGTGCCAGAGTTCGTGAACCTGGAGGGGTTGACATGCCTGATCAAAGTGGGGACAGAGGCTGACCAGAACTACCAGAATTACATCCTCCGGGGTTGGTATTTGGGCACAGGACACCTGGAGCAGGTTGCCTAAAGAAGCTGTGGATGCCCCATCCCTGGAAGTGTTCAAGACCAGGTTGAATGGGTCTTTTATGCAACCTGGTCTAATGGAAAGTGTTTAAGGTCCTTTCCAACCCAAAGCATTCCAGGATTCTATGCTTGTCCCTAGGGAGGAAGGCAGGCACTCAGGGGAGGCAAGCCAGAAAATCTGCCAGGGCTACTCTGCCTTCCCAGCAGCCAGACATTGTCCTTGCTGCAGTGATGCTTGCAGGAATGGGAATTCCCAACCCCTGCCTGCTGCACCATCAGCCTTCCCACTTTCTGCCTTGCAGCCTTGAGCCAGATCATGCTCTTCGTGGATGGAATGCAAGGTGTCATCAACCACAATGAGACTGTCCAGTGGCTGTACACGCTGTCAGGAAGCCCAGTGAGTGCCTGTTGCTCTTGGGGGGCTGTCTGTGCCCTCCACTGCATCCCCTTCCCTGTTTGTGGCTGTCCCCTTGAACTGTCCCTCAGAGGATGTAATTCACTCTCTGCCTCTGGGCTCGGTACCCTGGGTACCTTTGCTTGTGTTGGGTCCTGCTCCCAGCCTTCTGGAAGTCACCCAGACCTCCCTATCCTGATGTGACCACATTCCTAGGCACAGAGCTTGAGTAAGACACTCCTGCCCCAGGTCCCTTCCCAGTGCCTCTTGGCCATCAGCCTCACAGCTGCAGGTCCCTGGCCCCACGGCAAAGCTCCCAGTGCTGGGGCATGGGCACAGCCACCCCACAGTGCCCCTGCAGCATGCTGCCAGGCCCCTGTCGCAGCTGCTGTCCCAGCTGCCATCCCTTGTCCCAGTTTCGCCTGGTGGTGAAGACGGCACTGAAGCTGCTCCTGGTGTTTGTGGAGTACACAGAGCCCAACGCCTTGCTGCTCATCCGCGCCGTCAATGCTGTGGACCAGGCGAGAGGTGAGTGCAGCTCCAGCCTCCTACGAGGTCCCTGCTGGGACACAGTGTCCCCTCCCAGCCTGCATGTCACCTGTTCATGCCTCTTCCCAGGTTCCTGTCCGTGGTCCAACTTAATGGCCATCCTGGAGCAGCGCAACGGGGCTGACACGGAGCTGCTCGTGTTCACCATGACACTGATCAACAAGGTCTGTGGGGGTGTCCCCGTGGTGCCACACTGCTGGGGTGCAGTGTGGGTGACCCCAGTGCCAGCAGCATCCCTCTGATTCTGCCCAGACGCTGGCAGCCCTCCCAGACCAGGACACCTTCTACGATGTGACCGACTGCCTGGAGCAGCAGGGCATGGAGCAGGTGGTGCAGCAGTACCTGGGCAGCAAGGGCACCGACCTCGACTTGAAGCAGCAGTTCACACTCTACGAGGTGAGCGGGGCTCCAGCAGGATCTGGCCATGTGCCACCTGCCTCCAGCAGGGAGGGTGAGTGCGTGGGGTGGCAGGGATGCTGCTGTGCCCGGTGCCATGCCTCTGGTCCTTCCACAGAGTGCTCTCAAGCTGGAGGATGATGTGGAAGAGCCGCCCTCGGGGGGACGCAAAGAGCGGAGGAGGACAGAAGAGGGCCGGCGTGGGTGGCGATCCCAGGGTGGCTCCCAGGATCCCAGTGCTGATGCCCAGCCACTGCTGGGGTCTCCTGGCACTCCAAAGGAGCCCCCAGCTGAGGACATCCTGCCTGTCCCTGCACCAAGCAGCCCAGCAGAGTGAGTGCAGCTGGAGGTGGTCTGTGGTGGGGATGCTCCTGGGATGGTGAAGACACGAGATGCTGCATAAGCAGCATTTGGATCCATTGCTGGTGCCAGGGTGGAGAGCAGTCCTGTGGGACCTGCTCTCAGTCTCTGTCTCTCTTCCAGACCCTGTCCCACCAGCATCTACAACAGCACGTCCAGCGTGCGGCTGGCCCTGGCCTCCCCTCCGGCTGAGAAGGAGCAGCCCCCGGGCCCAGGAGAGCGCAGCGTCTACAAGTAAGGAGCCAGGAGGGGCTGGGGGCATGGAGGTCCCCCAGGGCAGTAGGGTGGGCTCCCAGGAGCATGAGGTGTGTCCATCCCATGGCACACTCTGCCTTTCCCCTTGAGGAAACAGTCTGGAGGGCACTGGAGCTGGAGAGATGTATGAGAGGGCAGCAGATATCAAAGGGTCCAGCCAGGGGCTCCAAGGCATCCTTCGGGCATACACAGCTCTGCTCCAGCTCCTCCTCATTCTCCTCTCTGCCCGCGCTTGTCCTCTCCTCTGCCCACTCTTTCTGTCTTTCCTTTTGCAGGCTGCACCAAACTGCCCCTGTCTGGTAAGTGCCTGGCTCTGCACGTGTGTGCTCCCTCCCAGCATGATCATAGAATCATAGAATCCTGGAATAGTTTGGGTTGAAAGGGATCTTAAAAATCATCTAGTTCCAATGTTTCCACATTACCAGGTTGCTCTAAGCATCCAGCCTGGTCTTACAGGGATAAAGCATCCCAGCTTCTCTGGGCAACCCATGCCAGTGTCTCACCACTCTCACAGTGAAGAACTTCTTCCTAACATCCAATTTAAACCTAATCTCTTTCAGCTTAATGTGCTACTAATTCTCCCTTGCCCTATCCTGTGACGCTCTGGAGGAGCAGTCACTTGCACTCACGTTGCTGCCCCCGTCCCTTGCCTCTCCCCTTCAAGTCCTACCTGTGGGACCCCAACCCACTCCCCCATCACCCCACAGGATGTGGCACCCTGTGATCCCTGCTTTGGGGTGAGGTGTCCTTGCTGGGGGTGGCACAGCCTACTCCAGGTGATGGACAATGTCCCATCTCTCCAGCACCTGATGCCATGTGGTGCCTGGGCCAGAGGGGACTTGCCAGGGCTCTCCTGGCTCCCTGTGAACCCTGGGGCCATGGGGCAAGGGTTCCATGCTGGAGGGCTGCCAGGTGGGTGCGTGCAGGATGCATGAGCCCCGGGGGACTGCCGGCAGTGGGGGCTAACCCCTGTTTTCCCTCAGGCGGGAGGATGCCCCCTCCTTGCATGGGGACAAGCCTATTTTGAAGAAATTTGAGTAAGTAGAGGCATGCGTGTGTCTCTAGGCATGCACTTCCTTGGACTGGTACCCGGCTGGAGGTATCTGGGCTCTGGCCACACAGGGCACGAGGAGCAGGATCATGCCCTCAAGTCTCTGCCTTGGTGCCTTCCTGGGTTTTGCAGCTTTTGGATGAGGGTTGCAGTGAGCACCAGGTCTGTTAGGACCAACTGGTGACAGCAGCACCCTGTTGGCACAGCCGTGGGGCCATCACCTCTCTCTGCAGGGCTCAGAGGATGTTTAATCCTTGGTTTCCCTAGTGTGGTGTGGCCAGTGCAGGGGGTTTCTGTGCTGTGGGACTGGCTGTGCAGTGTGGCATGGCGTGGTTTGCTGGTTGTTCCTATTGTCCCCTTCCCTGATTTGCTTTTGGCCAACATCCACCCCATCTTGCAGAGCTCGCTTTTTGGAGAACCTGGCTGCAGCCCAGAAGGAGAAGATCTCTTCTATGGCCAAGGGGCGGCTCGATGTCCTCAGCGATACTACACTGGAGCATCCTACTGCTCTTGCATGGGAAAGAGACCATGGCACCTCTGATTCTGGGATGGAGCCACCCAGCATAAGTAGGTGCTGCCAGGGTGTGTGTTCCCAGCTCATCTGGGTCCCTGGGGTGGGGATTAGTGGCCCCTCAGTCCCCATCCCATGCCTGTATCTGTGACACACAGAGCCTCAGAGAAGCTGGTGATACCTCCTTGCTCAAAATGCCGGCATCTGAGCACACCCCACTGCAGAGCAGGACTCCAGCTCTACATTGAGCCCAGCACCACCTGCCCCCTCCAAGATTGTCCCAGCTTCTCCCTCTCTCCCTGCAGGGTCTTGTTTGGCTCGATCTGACATCACTGACTCCTGCAGCACCATCTCCTCTGACACCAAGTTTATGCTGGACATGCTCTATGCCAAGGGCTCCTCGGAGTCAGGGAGGGACAAGGTGTTCCATGAAATACCTTTATCTCCCAGGATCCAGGGTGAGGTGGAGATGGACACCAAGGGAAGTAGCAGCCAGGAGCAGGAGAGTGCCCGGCTCCGTGGCAGGGCTCCGGATGGGCCAGTAGCCAGTGCCCATGCCAAGCTGGTCCGTGCCATGTCCAGCATAGATGATGAGACCCACACGCAGAAGCTGGAGAACACTGGGATGATGCCCATCAAAAAGGACACAGAGCTGACATGGGAGCGCCTGGAGACCATCCCTGTGCAGCTGAAGATCAAGGACCTGGACTTTACTGATTTGGGGGAAGAAGAAGATTTTGACATTCTGGACACAGGGCCAATGACCAACGGGTCTTTTCCTGGCATTGAAGCAATGAGTGCTGGAACATTCATGGCTCCCCCTCCACCTCCTGCCCTCCCCGGTTGCCCACCACCACCACCTCCACCTCCTGCAGTCCCTGGCTGCCCACCCCCACCAGGGCTGCCAGGTCCCTCAGCAACAGATGGCCCCTCCCAGGCCAAGAAGAAGAGGACAGTGAAGCTCTTCTGGAAGGAGCTGAAGCAGCTGGATGGCACTGTGGGGCCTGGCAGGTTCGGCCAGGGGACACTTTGGGCATCCCTGCAGAATGTTGAAATCAATACTGCGAAACTGGAGCATCTCTTTGAGTCACGGTCAAAGGAAGCACCAACCTCAAAGGTACCAGTGGACACCCACTGGCCCAGGAGAATTGGGTGGGAGGAAGGCTGTGGGTTCCTGTGGGGACCCTGTTACCCCTACCCTATGTCAAGGATGGGCACTAGAAGCCTGGAGGCTCAGTGGGGATGATTACGGGCAGTGCACAGATTTGGTTTGGCTCACTGCCTGGTCTGTGTTTGGTTCCCCATGTTCATAAGCTCATGAAGGTGAGCCCTTTGCCTGGCTGTCCCCATCCATCCTGTCCTCTTTGCAGAAAGCCATTGATGGGAAGAAGGTGGTGGTGGTGTTGGACCCCAAGAGGAGCAACGCCATCAACATTGGCCTCACTGTGCTGCCACCTGTCCATATAATCAAGACAGCTGTGCTCAACTTTGATGAATTTGCAGTCAGTAAGGAAGGGATTGAGGTGAGCACAAGAGAAGCAGGCTCAGCTCCTCTGAGGTCCTCAACAGGTCACTTCCCCAGGCTAGGAGACATCCATGCCATGATGCCTGGGCTGACACATCCTTCGTATGGAGTCTGACATATCCCTCTTTCCCTGCTCCAGAAAATCCTAACCATGGTCCCAACTGAAGAGGAAAAACAAAAGATCCAGGAGGCCCAGTTGGCCAATCCTGATGTGCCTTTGGGCTCTGCAGAGCAGTTCCTGCTGTCCCTGTCTTCCATCAGTGACCTCACGGCCAGGCTTCAGCTCTGGGCCTTCAAGCTGGACTATGAGAGCCTGGAGCAGGTACAGGGCCATGTACCCCATCTCCCCTTTGCCCTCCCACTGCTGACACCCCAGAAGTGCTAAGCACCAAGCCAAGCATGTTTCTGGTGAGGAGCAGTCATATCCAAACATGGGAGGTGCTCCAGCATGGCTGGGGATGGGCTGCAGATCCCCAAGGCAAGCATGGGCTTGGATTGATCAGGAGGTGGTTGTCCTCATGGGTGAATGCTGAAGCTCCCAAGGGAGAGAGTGGCCAAGGTACCTCACCTACTTCTCCCCTCACCCAGGAGATCGCAGAGCCGCTCTTTGATCTGAAGGTAGGCATGGAGCAGCTGGCCAGAAATCACACATTCAAGTGCATCTTGGCCACGCTGCTGGCCACAGGCAACTTCTTGAATGGTTCCCAGGTGAGGAGCAGGGTGAGGACCAGTCATGGTGAGTGGGCACCCAGAAGGGTCTGTGGGGAGCTGGGAGGTGCTGGTGGGGACCCAGTGGGTCTGCAGACTGGAGGTCTGCTGGAGTAGGGACAAGAGTCCCTGCTGAGTCCATTGGGTTTCAGAGCAGAGGCTTTGAGCTCGGCTACCTGGAGAAGGTCTCGGAAGTGAAGGACACAGTGCACCGGCAGTCCCTGCTCTACCATCTCTGCCAGATGGTGGTCGAGAAGTTCCCAGAAACCACTGACCTCTACTCAGAAATTGCCTCCATCACCCGCTCCGCCCAGGTGAGGCAAGGCAGGTGACACCAGGGCAGGGGAAGGGTGTGGGTCCTGTAACTGCCCAGCTACACCAGCATGGCCAAGGACTGACACCTCACTCTTCCAGATTGACTTTGAAGAGTTGGCCAACAGCCTGGTGCAGCTGGAGCGGAGGTGCAGAGCCTCCTGGCACAACCTGAAGGTGATTGCCAAGCATGAGACCAAGCCAGTGCTGAAGACCAAGCTGACAGAGTTCCTCAAGGACAGCACCCAGCGCATCATCGTCCTGAAGGTGGTGCACAGGCGTGTCCTCAACAGGTTGGTGGCTGGGGACACAGCAGGAACCTTGCAGTCCTGTTGGTGGCCCTCTGTGACTGATACTCCCGTAGGTTTCACTCCTTCCTGCTGTACCTGGGGTACCCAGCGAGTGCGGCGCGGGATGTGAAGGTGACATCCATCTGCAAACTGCTGCGGGAGTTTGCCCTGGAGTACCGCACCTGCTGGGAGCGCGTCCTGCAGCAGCAGAAGAAACGTGCCGCCCACCGCGAGCGCAGCAAAACCCGGGGGCGGCTCATCACCGAGGTACGGGGACACTGGGCTGGGCATCACCAGTAGGTGATGCTCCCTGTGTCCCAACACCAACCTCTCCTCCCATTGCAGACTGAGAAATTCTCCGGCATTGCCGAGACAGTTCTGCCGCTTGCCGTGGTGTCCAGCAGCCCCAGGGAGCAGATGGAAGCGGGTCACGAGAGCATGAAGATTGTGCTGACCTCCCCCACAGATATCCCTGCCCGCCGCAGCCGAGCCAGCCAGGGTAGGAGCAGGATAGCAAAGGAATTCAAGACATGCCCAGCTGGCTGGGAACAGCTGGTGCCAGCATCCTCATTGTCCCCATGCATGAACAGGGCATAGCACTCCGACTCAGAGCTCTCCAGCCCAGGAGGATGTTCCCAGCTCGCCTGATGATGCTTCAGATGAAATCATGGACCAGCTGGTGAAATCAGTGACACACAATGCCAACCGCCGGCCCTGCCCCAACAAGGAGCGCAGGAGGTCCCGTGGCAACAGGAAGTCCTGTAAGTCCCATCCCTGTGTCCTCATGCCCTGTTCCATCTCTGTTCCACGCTCTGTCCCTGTACTCTGTCCCATCTCCACGTCCCTGTCCCATATCTGTGTCCCTGCTCAGATGCTTTTTCCCAGCTCTGTAGCCCTGTCCCCTTACCCTTTCCCATCTCTTTGTCTCTGTTGCCATGCCCTGTCCAATCTCTCTTCCCAGGCTCTGCCCAATCCTCATACTCCCTCTCATCTCTGTCCCAGTCTCTGTCTTCTGTTCCATCTCCATGTCTCTCTGCTCTGTCCCTATGCCTTGTCCTTTGTGTCCTTGTTCCCACGCCCTGTCTGGCTCCTTCCCCATGGGCCACCCATGACCTGCCATGCTGAGCCCACCAGACAGGGTGTACCCTGAGACCAGTCCATGCCTCTGCACCCCATTACCCTGCCTGAGCAGGCTCCCGGTGCGTGGGGACTCTGGCACCCAGTGCTGCTTGTGCTGGCAGTGCCATGCTCTCCTCTTCCCGCAGTGCGGCGGACGCTGAAGAGCGGGCTCAGCGAGGAGCTGGTGCAGGCACTGGGCCTGGGGCAGGCGCCTGGCATGGAGGTTTGAGGGGGCTCTTGCTGCTCCCCACTGCCAGCAGCCCCAGGGCAGGACGTGGTGGCAGCCCCTGCGGTCCCAGGAAAGGCACACTCTGCACCTTTGGCCTCGCCTCACTCTTCCCTGCTGGCCTCCAGCTCCCAGAGGTGCAGGCAGCAGCATGGGAGTCATGCCCCAGAGCTGCTCCATGGCAACTGGGATGGAGGATGCTCAGCACGCGTGCCTGGAGGCTCGAGGTTCATCTTCTCAACAGTATTAGAAGGGTCAAGGGGCTGGACTCAAACCCCCTCTGGGAACTGGGTCTGGCTCATGGCCACTGTGGCAATAAAATGTTCTGATATGCTGCCAGCATCTCTTGTTCCTGTACCTGAGAGGCCAGAATGATGTGATACTCCCTCCCTGGCCAAGCCAGTATCCCTTCTCGTGCAACCCCAACCCTGCTGCCTGAGGCAAGCACTCAGCCAACCCTGTGGCTTGTAGGCACCATTGTCCCTCTGGGGACAGCATGATCCCCTCTGTACTGGGACAGCTGGGGAACTTTTCCAGAAGGGGCAGGGACTGCTGCCAGCTCAAGGCTGCACGCTCAAGGACAGGAGCAGTGGCTCGAGCACAAGGACACAGCACAGTAAAATTGTCTTGCACTTCACCTCTCCTTTACAAACCTCTCCTAGGGGGTTTACCCAGACCCAGACCTGTGTCGGTGGCAGGGTGGTTGTTCCCCTCTAGGAGCAGGTCCAGGGTACAGCAGCCATGTGTCCTCTAGCTGCAAGCCTCAGAAATACCTGTGCTTGGCAAAGACAGGCTGCCTTGCCTGTTCCTGTAAATGCACCAAGGACAGCATCTGCCTGTCCCCATGGCAGCCTGGGAGATGTTCCTGCCACCTCCTGTCCCACTGTGGCTCATGCCATGCCAGACACGGATTAAACCCCACACTGGGTGCAATGCTCCTCACAGTAGGTACCACTTCTCAGCATCCCCCTCTGCCAGTGCTTGGGCACTCTCACCTGTGGTCCCACACTGGGTGCAATGCTCCTCACAGTAGGTACCACTTCTCAGCATCCAGTGCTTGGGCACTCTCACCTGTGGCAGAGGCATTTGGGAATGGTGTCATGTCATCCATCACGACAGCTCCACCTCGGCGCTGCCCTGGCGCTGCCTCCAGCCCTGAATCCCGCACAGCAGGTCTCTGTGGCTTTCAAGGAATGAAGAAAAACTCCACCAGGCAGGGCAGCTTTTTCCTCCTGGCTATCTCTGCCCAGGGTTATTCCTCTCCCATGAGGTTGGACATGCCAGCCTGCCCTGGTTTGCAGGTCTTCCTGAGTGGCCCTGAAAGCAGCAAGTTGCCACACTGAGAGCTGCAAGTGTCCCAGAAGTGCCTCAAGATACAGTCCAGCTTTCCTGCCCTCTGGGTGCATGACTTGGGGCTGCAAGGAGAAGACAAAGAGGTTATGATAGGCAACAATGAGCCACAGGAGGAAGAAGGGGCTGAGAAAGCATCTTCTTGATCCCCTGCATCTACTCCAGGTAGCTAAAATGACATTGCACATGTGACAGCACCACAGTTGTTACTCCTGAGGGCTTGCAGGGGAAAACTGAGGCAGGGTGCAGGGGAACGTGTTTGGGTTTTTCCACCTTTTTTTTTTTTCAGCCTTGGTGTTATTTCCAGGATTCCTAGCCTGACCCTGGACACACGCTGCCCTTGAGTGGCGCCTGAAGTGCTTGGCTTGGCCACAGCACAAGTGATTTATACCAAAATTATGACCAGCAGGGGTGACCCCTGAGGAGGAGAGGGGGTGCCAGGATGCTGGAGGCACCTTTGCAAGCTGAGAGAGGTTTGGGGCAGTCACACGAGGCTTGGTGGGGACCTGGGACACGTGTGTCCTCAGGCAGCATCAACAGAGATGGGGCTGGGGTGCTGCACGCCCAGTGGACTTCTCGAGGTGGGATGAAGTGACCCTGCCAGGGCACCCCATGGCACCCAGCATCTCCATTCCTTCCTCCAACTCCATCCCTGCCTGCGTCCCTGCGCGGCTCCTGCCCGCGCCAGCCCGGCACCACGAGCTGTGTCTGGCTGCCACGAGGGGGCACGGTGGCCACACGCACGGCGAGGCCACCCGAAAGGACGCTTCCCGTCCCGAAAGGACGCCCCGTGTCCCGCCGTTCTTCAGCGACTCGCCGCTGTCCTTCATTTTGTTGTTCTCCCCTGCCTGGCAGCCGGCGGGGTTCACCCTGCTCCCCCTACCCGGAGACACAGCCTGCCTCTTTCATGTCTCCTGTGGAATGACAGCCGCGTCCTTGGTCCTGGCTGTTTGTCTGGCCGGCGGGGACAGGCTCCTGTCCCCTGTGATCAGCTGTGTCTCCACGGCTTGTCCCTGGCCCTCATCCTGCCCTGGCCCCGTTCCAGGCAGCGGGGAGGAGCAGGGGACAGCAGGAATGAACCTGGCTCCACTTTATGTTGCGATTTTGCTATTCTATAGCTTCCACCCTTATTGTGACAGATGTTCCCTGCCTTCTCTATTCCATCTTTTCCATGAGACTCTCCCAGCACAGAATCCTGTTTGCTGCCACACTTTGAGGTCAGCTCCAGCTTCATGTTACATGGGCATATCCTCACTGCCACCCCCAAGCTCAGGGTGAGGGATTGCCCGTGGTCCTGGCCTCGTGGTTGCCACAAAGCCCCACCACCTTGTGTGGGAAGCACAATTCCCATCAGTGACAGCACAGTCTCTTTTCTCTTCTCAGGTCAGAGCCATCTTGAACACTTTCAAATACTGGTGCACTCTGGCCACCTTCCAGAAGAATTATGATCATCTACCCTCCCCCCCTCCAAAATTCCTCCTCCTGCCTCAGCTGGAGGACACCTACTCTACTTCCTGACCTCAACCCTCTTAAGCAACTTCAGGCTGACAACATGCTCCATTCTGCAACCACCTTCCCCAGCAGGATGGAGGCATGGAATGGGAACCAGGTCACAGCTGCTGTGACCTACTGCCACCTTCCCTAGGAGCAGAGGGAGCAGAATGTCACCTGGAGCACGGCCCTGTCATCTTCCCCTGGAATCTGTCTTGTGACCAACGGGGAGACACATTTCCCCTGTCCCCATCACTCCAATGATGAGATACAGACTCTGTGATGGGCAGAGAAGGGAGATGGGAGGTTGATGTTGAGCTGGCGAAGCAAGCCTGGTATGGAACCACACATCACCCAGGAGAACACTAAGTATTACAGGAGATGGAATCACTTTGGAGTATCACTGTTTCACAGCCACACTGAAGAAGTAAGGTCCCTGCAGCCCAAAATCATCTCTGGTTTGGGGAACTGTGGTGCAGAAATCCTGGCTGCCAAAGGCTGTGCAGGCACAGTGACACAAGGTCCTGGCCAGGGCAGGAGGTGAAATCTCCCAAAGCCATGAATGCATCTGGAAACGGAGCTGTGTTTTGTAAATACCTGGGGATCATGTGCAACCTGAAAAAACAAGTCAGAGGCAGGAGTGTTCCAAGGACAAGGGGGTCTGGAAAGAGCCAGACCCAGAGCTTGGCTGGATGCTCCAGCAAGGCTGTCCTGGGGAGCAGCCCTGGTACTCTGCAAAGGAGCTGCTCCAGCCACAGTGCCCCAGGAGCAAGGAGGTCCTGCCCAGCTGCTGGGGAAAGGTTTGAGCTGTGCCCACCATCCAGCTGAGGTGTGTGGAAACGCCCTAGAGATGGAGGATCAAAGCCTGGGTCTCAGGCTGATTCCATCAACATGACACCAGATGCAGCAGACAACGAGCACCAATGGTCACCTGTGATTTACAGCTTCAAAATATAAGGAAATATAAAAAAAAAATCCCTTGTCAATTAAGCTGGAAACAAAGAATGGAAACTGCTGGGGAAGAAGAGGAAGAAGATCCCAGAACAGAGAGCTAAGGTGGCTCCATGGAGGCTGTGGCTGAGGTTGGCTGTGACATGAGAAGTGCCTCCAGGCTGAGCTTTTTTAGACTCAGTTTCCCCTGCCTTAGGTTTGGGAAAGGATCACAGGGATGCTGGGTGCAGGAAAGGCTTCCTGGAGGTGAACCTGGCTTAGCTGAATCACAGACACCCGTGGATCTGTGCTCTCCAGAGAAGAATGCCACAATAACAGAGTTCCCGCTACAGTAGCAAAGTTCAACCAGAACCAAGACAACTGCACAAAGTTCAGTAGTAGGACACAAATATTTGGTGCCAGGAGTAATTAATCACTGTCCTTTGCAAGATGCTTTGGGGCAAAATGAGAATTCATTCCAGGTGGTGCAACAGCCTTTGTCACCCCTGAACTGTCTCCAGCCCCAGATGCCAATGGGCTCCAGTGTCTCACATCTTCACCATGAAGAATGAACCCCTGTCCATTCAAGGGCAATTTGAGGACGTTGTGTGGGAGACAGGGAGCCCTCTGTGCTTTAGTGCAGTATCCCCTTTCCTGTGGATTTGACAGTCCCTGGGAGGTACCCAGCCCTCAAGTGACATTGAAGAAGGCTTCAGCCCCATGGTCGCCTCTCCTGAGACAGCTGCTCCCAGGGAAGGACTGAACCTCATGGCATTTGTGAGGTAGCAAGAGCTGGCACAAATATCCATCAGCACTGAACAGGCAAAAGAGGCCTGTTAGACGCTTGCCTGGGTGGCGTTTCCTGAGGAGATAATAGCCCTGGAAGAAGGACTTGCTGTTTTGGAGAAGATTAAGTACCTGTGGCAGCAGCATGCGGATGAATCACAACCCTCATGGGCTTACAGACCCTGGAAATGGCTTATGGCACTTTGAAAACAATGTCATGAATCTTCTGCAGATCAGATTAGGGAGTGGAACAATTATCTCAAAACCTGTTAGTCATGGGAGGCTCCAGGAGCTGGAGGAACAGCCTAGGGCAAGGGGAGCACTAGGAAGATGTGGTGTGTGTGTCCTCCCTCCCAGGGACCTGCTTGAGCAGCCCCAGGAAAGGTGTGGGAGGTGGCTGTGGTTGAACCAGCCCTGCTTCCCCTGTGAAAGGTGAGCTGTAATTAGCAGAACGGGCACGGAAGAGCTCAAGTAGGTCAAAAGGTAATGGGGCTATCGCCGGCGTTTCCCAACAGCACAGCGCTGCTGGGAGGCACCCTCGGGGTTGGGCAATGGGCAGATGAACAAGGCCAGGCACTGTCTTCAAGGGAAGAGCCACCAGTCACCCTGACTGCACACCAGCCTTTTGGGGGAAAGCTGGGGAGAGGGCAGAGACAGTAAATGGTGCTGCTGGTTCAGCCCCACCACATGGGAGCTGTGGTGAGAAAACCCACAGAAAGCCCTGACTGGTGTGACAAAGAACACCACGGCTGTCTACAAACCCATCTTGAGGTGTCCCACAAGAA